CTTCCTTCCCCTTGTCGTCCTTCCCCCCCCTCTCCTCACCCCTCTTCCCCCCCTCCCTCCACCACTCCCCTTCTAGGACTAGAAGAGAGAGGAGAACGCGCGACGGGACACGTGAAGGAAGTACGAGCGCTACCTACTGCGTGCAGTCCCGACGCAGCCCCCACGGGGAGAGCGGGAGCACACGGCCGGAGACACCGCGAATGAAGCAGATCCTTGAGCATGCCGCGAGCAGCCTCCTTTCATGTCTCTTCTCTCTCCTCTTCCTCGTTAACAGCAGAAAGCCTCCCCCGCTTCAAGGAGCTCGACCGATCAGAGGACCCACCGCAAGCACTCTCATTCTCCCCGCCTTACACCGAACCGCCCTCTTCTATCCGTACCCTCCTTGCCACTTAGCTCGCAAAGCCTCCTCACGCCGCGAAGGCCAGCGCCTGCTCTGACTCGCGCGCAGGAGCTATGGTCCGCCCGCCCAAAGCGCCGGCCCCGCCATTACCCACTTGAGCTTTCCCATAAACCCTTGTGCCGGCAGGATTGAAGACTGAGAGGTCGGAGTTTCGAATCCAGGGAGAATGTGGGTGAGGTCCCTCTGTCATATCCAGCTCCCCATGCAGGGACATATAAGAAGCGTCCCACAAGAATGGTAAAACATCAAAACATCCCGGCGTCCCCTCGGCAACATCCTTGCAGACGGCCAATTCTCTCACACCAGAAGCAACTTGCAGTTTCTCAAGTCACTACTGACACACACAAAAAAACCACACTACATTTATTCCCCCTCTTTTTTTAATTGATTTTTTTAAAAATGGCAATAATAGATTCTCTATCACGTTTTCACATTCTTGAGCGGAGCTTCAACATTTTTACCAGTTGAAACATATTATCCACAAAATAAACTCCTCAAAATAAATCTATATAAATAAAAATGTAATGTTCATTTGTGGGATTCACAGAACTCAAAAACCACTGGATGAATTGACACCAAATTTGGACACAAGACATCTAACAACCCAATGTATGTCCTTCACTCAAAAAAGTTGATTTTGTCATTTGGGAGTTGTAGTTGCTGGGATTTATAGTTCACCTACAATCAAAGAGCATTCTGAACCACACCAACGATGGAATTGAACCAAACTTGGCACACAGTTCTCCCATGACCAACAGAAAATACTGGAAGGGTTTGGTGGGCAGTGTCCTTTGGTTTTGGAGTTGTAGTTCACCTACATCCAGAGATCACTGCACTCAAACAATGATGGATCTGGATCAAACTCTACACGAATACTCAATATGCCCAAATGTGAACACTGGTGGAGTTTGGGGAAAATAGAATCTTGACATTTGGGAGTTGTAGTTGCTGGGATTTCTAGTTCACCTACAATCACAGAGCATTCTGAACCCCACCAATGATAGAATTGGGCTAAACCTCCCACACAGAACCCCCATGTGGGCCACAGCAAGGTGTGGCAGGGGATGGCTAGTAAATTAAAAAAAATAGGTGCTGGGTTGTTTTAAAGCTTTTGGGCTGTATGGCCATGTTCCAGAAGCTTCAGGGACAGCTAAACACCTCTCAACAAAGGATTCCCCCAGGCAGTAAGATGCAACACCTTGAAACTGCTAGGCCATTAAATGCTAATCAAGGTGGCCAATTGAAACATTCACACCTTGCTCCAACAGACCATAGTTCTTTCTCCCACCCTGGACTTTCCACAAATATATACGAGGGTTGGATGAAAAGTAATGCCTCCACCTTCGTTACTTGGGTTTGGATGGGAATATTTTAATAAATCAAACGCAGAAATATTCCTTAGAATGTGCTCTTTAACTATCACTATTCACTTTTCCACATAATCACCAGACAATTGGATACATTTCTGCCAACGATGAACAAGTTTTCTGAAGCCGTCACGGAAGAAGTCCTCACTCTGTTTCCGCAACCCATCATGCACAGATCTTCGAATAGTCAAGCAAAGCAATAGTGTGACCCACACATTCTTGTGAAATGCCGATTGTGCTTGAAATTGCTCTCTGAGTGATATGACGATCGTCCTAAATCAGTCAACCTTTTGCTTGTAAAACTCGGTGGTTGCTGTCACAGGACGTCCAACTCTTTGTTTGTCACACAAGTCAGATGTTCCCACCTCAACATCTTTAAACTTACTCGCCCAACGACGCACAATACTCACATCAACAGAATCACCATAAACAGCTTGCATTCTCTGATGAATCTCCTTTGGGGTGACACCTTCTGCTGTCAAGAATTCAATGACTGCACGTTGCTTAAGTCACATTGACCGATTCGCTGCACAGGGTTCCATACTTTGCACTTTAACAACACAACCGTTAAATGCTAAGGCATCCTGCCAAAATGTAACTGTAGAGGAGAGTCTACTGAACAAGCCAGTACATGCCGCATACCAGTACTGCCATTTGTTGAGGAGCTATGAAGGTGGAGGCATTACTTTTCATTCAACCCTCACAACCCTAGTTTCCAACACACCCCACAACCTTTGAGGATGCCTGCCATAGACGCAGGTGAAATGTCAGGAGAGAATGCTTCTGGAACATGGCCAGACAGCCCGAAAAACTTACAACAACCCAGTGATTCCAGCCGTGAAAGACAAAATAGGTGCTATTTCCCCTGGGTCCAACCGTTTAATATATTATTTCCAAAACATCATGGTTTCCATGGCAGGCTTGCTCCCCTGCCCTTTAGCAAAGACATATTCTATACATTGCCCTTTTTAAAGTCAAAGTGTCTGCCTCAGTTTCCCCCTTCTTTAAAATGGGTACACATTGATGAAAACATCTATGCCACTCCCTGCTTGCCAAAGGCCACCTCAGGTTGACGGCCTAAATGAATCGATTTGAGACGAGGCTTTAATCTGTTGTTGTTTAAGTATGTTTGTGCTAATTGTCAACTACGTTGATGTCAGGTTATATCTATATCTATATCTATGTATATAATAAAAGTCAGTGTTTGTATGCGGAGGGAGCTTTCTGATTGGTTGCCACTTTAACAGGCCGCTGTGACCAGCACGGGTGACAGACCTGGACCAAACTTGGCACACATAATCCCCATGACCCCCTTTACATCCTGGTGGGGTTTGGGGAAGGATAGACAAAGGATTATGGGATTTGTAGTACTTTCCCACCCTTTTGTTCACACAGACTACTGTGGCCCCCAACAGACCAATAAAGACCAAACTTGGCACACAGAGCTCCCATGACCCACTCTACATCCTACTGCTGTTTGGGGGAGGGTGGGTCATGGATGATGGAACTTGCAGTACATCCACTCACTTCCCGAGATCGCTGCAACCCTCATCCAATGACTGATCAAGACCAAACTTGGCACACAGAGCCCCCATGACCCACTATACATCCTGGTGCGGTTTGGTGGAGAATATACCACAGATGATGATAGTTGAAGTACCTTCACTCACTTCCTGTGTCCGCTGCGAACCTCATCCAATGACTGATCAAGACCAAACTTGGCACTCAGAGCCCCCATGACCCACTCTCCATCCTGGTGCTGTTTAGAGAACGATGGACCATGAACGATGGACTCGCAGTACCTTCATTAACTTCCTGAGAGCACTGCGAGCCACATAAATAACTGATAAAGACCAACCTTGGCGCACAATGGCTTTCTCAAATTACCTGGGCAGCGCCGGGTCCCCAAGCTAGTATATAATAAAAGTCAAAATTTGTATGCGGAGGATGGACGTAGGATGGAGGGCGGTGTATGTGGCAGCGTTCTGATTGGCTGCTACTGTGGTACTATTTCCATATGGTCTTTGACTGGCAAGCCTAAAAACTCCAACATCCTCAAGTGGCTGAGAGGGGAAAGGAAATTTGCATATGTTTTCTGATTGGCCAACCTCAACAGGAGCCCCTGGTGGTGAAGAGGGTCAATGAGAGAAGCGGGGCCATGAGAGAAGGACATTTGCATATGGTTTCTGATTGGCCAACCTCAACAGGAGCCCCTGGTGGTGAAGAGGGTTAATGAGAGTAGCGGGGACATGAAAGAAGGAAATTTGCATATGGTTTCTGATTGGCCAGCTTCAACAGGAGCTTTCTGATTGGCTGCCACTGTGGTTCTATCTGCATATGGTTTCTGATTGGCCAGCCTCAATTCTAAGATTCTGAGATGACAAAGAGAGGAAAGGAAAAGGCCAGAGGCTGTGTCAGAAAATTACCAATGCAGACCAAACTTGGCACACAGAGACCGCAAGACCCACTTTACATCCTACTGCAGTTTGGAGGAGGATGGACCATGGATGATGGGACTTGCAGTACCATCACTCACTTTCTGAGACCGCTTTGACCTTCATCCAATGACTGATCTAGACCAAACTTGGCACATAGACCTTTCATGACCCACTTTATGCCCTGGTGAGGTTTGGCTGGGGATGGACCATGGATTATGGGACTTGCAGTACCTTCACTCAATTCCTGAGACCACTGCAACCCTCATCCAATTACTGGCAAAGACCAAACTTGGGACACTGAGTCTCCATGATGCACTGTACATCCTGGTGCAGTTTGGAGGAGGATGCACCATGGATGATGGGACTTGCAATACCTGCACTCCCTTCCTGAGACGATTACAACTGCCAACAGTGATGGATCAGGATCACAATTCACACAGAGATAAAATAACTGATAAAGACCAACCTTGATACACAATTCCTTTCTCAAATAACCCAGGCAGCGCCGGGTCCCCAAGCTAGTATATAATAAAAGTGAATGTCTGTATGTGTGTATGTGGCAGCGTTCTGATTGGCTGCCACTTTCACAAGCCACTGTGACCAGCACGGGTGACGGACGTGAACAAAACTTGGCAAACATAACCCCCATGACCTCCTTACATCCTGGTGAGGTATGGGGGAGGGCAGACAAAGTATGATGGGATTTGTAGTACTTTCAAACACTTCTGTTCCCACAGACCACCCTGGCCCCCAATGAAGACCTATAAAGACCAAATTTGGCACACAGAGCCCCCATGTCCCACTCTACATCCTGGTGCAGTTTTGAGGAGAATGGACCACGGATGATGGGACTTGAAGTACATTCACACACTTCCCGAGGCTGCTGTGACCTGCATGATATAACTGATCAAGACCAAACTTGGCACACATAACCCCCGTGACCCCCTTTACGTCCTGGTGAGGTTTGCGGCAGGGTGGACAATGGATGATGGAACTTGAATTACCTTCACTCACTTCCCGAGACTTGGTACACAGAGCCCCCATGACCCACTCTACATTCTGGTGCACTTTGAAGGAGGATGCACCATGGATGATGGGACTTGAAGTACCTTCACTCACTTCTCGAGATTGCTGCGATCTTTATCTAATGACTGATCAAAACCAAACTTGGTACATAGAGCCTCCATGATCCACTCTACATCCTGGTGCAGTTTGAAGGAGGACGAACCACGGATGATGGGACTTGCAGTACCTTCACTAACTTTCTGAAACCACTGCGATCCTCATCTAATGACTTTTCAAGACCAAACTTGGCACACAGAGCCCCCCATGACCCAGTCTACATCTGGTGCAGTTTTGAGGAGGATGGACCATGGATGATGGGATTTCAAGTACCTTCACTCACTTCCCAAGACCATTGCAAACTTCATCCAATGACCAATTAAGACCAAACTTGGCATACAGAGCCCCCATGACCCACTACCCATCCTGGAGCAGTTTGGAGGACTCACAGTACCTTCACTACCTTCCTGAGAGCACTGCGAGCCACATAAATAACTTATAAAGGCCAACCTTGGCACTCAATGCCTTTCTCAAATAATCTGGGCAGTGCCGGGTCCGCAAGCTAGTATATAATAAAATTGAATGTTTGTATGTATGTATATGGCAGCTTTCTGATTGACTGCCACTTTCACAGGCCACTGTGACCTGCATCCAGTGGCTGATCAAAACCAAACTTGGCACACAGAGCCCCCATGACCCTCTTTCACTCAGAATCAGCCCCCCCCCCCCCCCCCCCCCCGAAAAAAAATCACCCCCCCCCCCCCCCCGGAAATGAAATCCTGGCTACGGGCCTGCCTGAGGCTGTCAGGAATGGTGGGAATTAAGTCCAAAACACCTTGGAAGGTATAAATCATAAACATCATGTAAGCAAGCCACAAGGGACATAATATTTTTCTCCAGAAATTTTCAATATTTGGGTGTTTTACATAAGAATTGACTATGTCCCACCTCACACTGATTGGAAGAATCATGTGGCAGCCACAATATATATTGTGATGCACCTCTGCCTCTAACATGTTTATCCTGATTTTTTCTCAAAAGGAGGAACACCGTATATACTCAAGTATAAACCAACCTGAATATAAGCTGAGGCATCTAATTTTACCACAAAAACTGGGAAAACGTAAGCAGAGGTTGGGAAATGCAGCCACTACTGGTAAATTTCAAAATAAAAATAGATACCAATAAAATTACATTAATTAAGACATCAGTAGGTTAAATCTTTTTGAATATTTACATAAAACAGTAATTTAAGATAAAACTGATCAACTTTGATTAAATCATTATTCCACCTTCTTCAGTGTAAATGAGTTTATGTATCCTTCCAATAATAATAGAGTAAAATAATAAATATAATAAAAATAATAATAGAGTAAAATAATGAAAATGTTATAAAAACAGTAATAATAGAGTAAAATTATAAATGTAATAATAATACAGTAAAATAATGTAAATGTATTAATAATAAATATAGACTAAAATAGATATAATAATAGAGTAAAATAATACATGTAATATTATCTCTCTCTCTCTCTCTCTCTATATATATATATACTAGCTGTGCCCTACCACACGTTGCTGTGGCCTATAGTAAAACTTATCAAAGTTGAGGTAGATATCTGGACTATTATGAAAGAGAGGTACCTACCTATTCCTTCCCCCTTTTCCTCCCCCTTTCTCTCCTTTCTTCCTTCTCTACCTCTTTCTTTTCTTTCACTACTTGGTTTCATCCTTCTCTCTTTCCTTCATTCCCTCCCCCTTTCTTCCTTTGCCTTTCTTCCCTCCCTGTTTGCTTCCTTCTTTCACTTTTTATTTCCTTTTATTTCACCACCATCATAACAATAACAATAATGCAATGCATTGCCTCTGGGACCTGACACCTCTCCCATTCCCCCAGGGTCTCAGAGGAATAATAGCATAGTAATAATAGAAATAACAACCTTTACCCGCCACGCATTGCTGTGGCCATCCTTCCCTCTTTCTCCCCTTCTTTCCCTCCTTCCTTCCTTCCTCCCTCCCTCCCTTCTTCTCCTCCTTCCTTCCTTCCTTCCTTCCTTCCTTCCTTCTCTTCCTTCTCTATCTCTTTCCTTCCTTCCTTCCCCCTTTTTCTTTGTCTTCTGGTCTCTTTTCTTCCTTCTCTCTTTCCTTCTTTCCTTCCCACCCTCTTTCTCTACATCTTCCCCCTTCCTTCACTCCCTCTTTCCTTCCTTCATTCCCTTTTTTCTTTCCTTCTCTCCTTCCTTCCTTCCCCATTTTTCTTTCTCTTCTGGTCTCTTTTCTTCCTTCTCTCTTTCCTTCTTTCCTTCCCTCCCTCTTTCTCTACATCTTCCCCCTTCCTTCACTCCCTCTTTCCTTCCTTCATTCCCTTTTCTTTCCTTCTCTCCTTCCTTCCTTCCCCCTTTTTCTTTCTCTTCTGGTCTCTTTTCTTCCTTCTCTCTTTCCTCTTTCCTTCCCTCCCTCTTTCTCTACATCTTCGCCCTTCCTTCACTCCCTCTTTCCTTCCTTCCTTCCTTTTTTCTTTCCTTCTCTCCTTCCCCCTTTTTCTTTCTCTTCTGGTCTCTTTTCTTCCTTCTCTCTTTCCTTCCCTCCCTCTTTCTCTACATCTTCGCCCTTCCTTCACTCCCTCTTTCCTTCCTTCATTCCCTTTTTTCTTCCCTTCTCCCCTTCCTTCCCCCTTTTTCTTTCCCTCCCTCTGTCTCTCATTTCTTCCTTCTCTACCTCTTTCCTTCCTTCCCCCTTTTTCTTTCTCTTCTGCTGTCTCTCTTTTCTTTCCTTCCATCTTTCCTTTTCTTTCCTTTTCTTCTTCCTTCTTTCTCTAACTTTCCTTCCTTCCCCCTTTTTCTTTACCTCCCTTTCTCTTTCTTCCTTCTTTCCTTCCTTCCTGTCTTTCCTGGATTTTGACAGGGCGGGAAGGGGCGGGGTGGGGTTTGGAGGTGGCGTGAAGTAAAAGGAGGTAAGATTGGGGCAGGGGAGTGATGGAGCGTGGGGTTGCGTGTGTGTGTGCGGCGGCAGGGGAGTGATGGAGCGTGGGGTTGCGTGTGTGTGTGCGGCGGCGGGGGGAGTGATGGAGCGTGGGGTTGCGTGTGTGTGTGCGGGCGGCGGGGGGAGTGATGGAGCGTGGGGTTGCGTGTGTGTGTGCGGCAGCGGGGGGAGTGATGTAGCGTGGGGTTGCGTGTGTGTGTGCGGTGGCGTGGGGGGAATGATGGAGCCTGGGGTTGCGTGTGTGTGTCCGGCGGCGGGGGGAGTGATGGAGCGTGGGGTTGCGTGTGTGTGTGCGGCGGCGGGGGAGTGGGGTTGCGTGTGTGCGTGCGGCAGCGGGCAGCGGTGGGAGTGATGGAGCATGGGGTTGCGTGTGTGTGTGGCAGGGGGTGTGTGTGTGCGGGAAGCAGCGCGGCGGGGCTTGGAGTGGGCATGGCTTCCGCAGAGGGAACTTTGGCCGGAAGGCTGTGTGCGCACGCAAGGGAACTTGCGGCTGGGCGCCAATGCGCATGCTCAGTTGTTTTGCCATTTTGCGAGTGTGTTGTGTTGTTTTTCATTTTGAGTAGATATGTTTGTACCTTGTGGGTTGTGTTATGGGCATGGGAATTTTGGTTAAGTTTCATTGGGATTTTTTGAGTTTTGTTGTTTTGCCGTTTTGTGAGTGTGTTGTTGTGTTGTTTTTCATTTTGAGTAGATATGTTTGTACCTTGTGGGTTGTGTTATGGGCATGGGAATTTTGGTTAAGTTTCGTTGGGGTTTTTTTGAGTTTTGTTGTTTTGTGAGTGTGTTGTTGTGTTGTTTTTCATTTTGAGTAAATATGTTTGTACCTTGTGGGTTGTGTTATGGGCATGGGAATTTTGGTTAAGTTTCGTTGGGGGGTTGTGGAGTTTTGCTGTCCCGTTGAACCAACCTAACAGATTTATATATATAGATGTATATCTATCTATCTGTATAATAAAAGAGAGTGTTTGTATGTATGTATGCGGAGGGCGCAGGTGTATGTGGCAGCTTTCTGATTGGCTGCCACTGTGATACAATTTGCATAAGGTCTCTGATTGGCCAGCCTCAACATTTCATTGCAGTACTTTAACTCACTTCCTTAGAGCACTGTGGCCCACACCAATGATGGATCAGGACCAAACTTGGCACACAGAGGCCCAATGGCCCACTTTACAACCTGGTGCGGTTCAGGGCAGGATGGGCCACAAATGATGGGATTAGCAATACCTTCACCCAATTCACTTCCCACAGAACATTGTAGCCCCTACAAATCACAGACCAGGCCCAAACTTGGCACACAGAGTACTCATGACCAGTTCTGATGCAGTTCTAAGGGGGATAGACCATGGATGATGGGACTTGCCGTACCTTTACTCACTTACTGAAACCACTGCGACCGTCATCCAATGACTGATCAAGACCATATTGGCACACAGAGCCCCCATGACCCACTCTACATCCTGCTGCTGTTTGGAGGAGGGTGGACCATGGATGATGGGACTTGCCGTACCTTTACTCACTTATTGAAACCTCATCCAATGACTGGTCAAGACCAAATTGGCACACAGAGCCCTCATGACAAACTCTACACCCTGCTGCAGTTTGTAAATGTTTGGACCATGGATGATGGGAATTACAGTATCTTCACTCATTTCTACAGACCACTGTGGCCCACACCAATGACTGATCACAATTGAATTTGGCATACAGAGACCCCATGATCCACTTTACATCCTGGTGCAGTTTCGAGGATGATGTACCATGGACGATGGGGCTTGCATATGATAGTTTTAATTCACCTGCACCCACTGAACCAAGCTGACATTGCATCTAGGCTAAACTTGGAGCATAGACAACATACTGTCGAAGTTTGGGGCAAATGACCTTTCTTCAAGGGAGTTATAGTTCACGTACACCCAGAGATACTGTGCCCCCCCCCAAGGCAATGGACAGGAACTACACTTCACACTAAAAAGCCTCATGACCAATTGAACATACTGCAGGAGTTTGCAGGAATTGACTTTGATTTTGGGAGTTGTAGTTCACAACAGGGAAAAGAATTATCTTTTTAATGATGCCTTTCTATACTTATGAACACTTTTACCCGCAAACCTCCTATCCCAGCCTCCTTTGACCCTTCTGCTAAATCTTTGAAGGCTGGCGCCATCCTGCTAGACCATGACCCACTCTACATCCTGATGCAATTCTAAGGGGGATGGACCATGGATGATGGGACTTGCAGTACCTTTACTCACGGAAACCACTGCGACCCTCATCCAGTGACAGAAAAACTTGGCACATAGAGCCCCCATGACCCACTCTACATCCTGCTGCTGTTTGGAGGAGGGTCGACCATGGATGATGGGACTTCAAGAACCTTCACTCACTTCCTGAAAACAATGCAACCATCATCCAGTGGCCAATAAAGACCAAACTTGGCATACAGAACCACCATTACTGGCTTTCTCTAATAACCCGGGCAGCGCTGGGTCCCCAAGCTAGTATATAATAAAAGTGAATATTTGTATGTTTGTATGTATGTTTGTATGCAGAGATGTATGTAGCAGCTTTCTGATTGGCTGCCACTTTCACAGGCCACTGTGACCAGCATGGGTGATGGACCTGGACCACACTTGGCACACATAACCCCCAATGACCCCCTTTATGTCCTGGTGAGGTTTGGGGGAGGACAGACAAAGGATGATGGGATTTGAAGTACTTTCAAACCCTTCAGTTCCCACAGACCACTATGGCCCCCAACAAACCTGGCACACAGAGTCCCCATTATCCACTCGACTGTTGTTAGGAGGAGGGTGGACTATGGATGATGGGACTTGAAGTACCTCAACTCACTTCCCGAGACCTCTGTGACCCACATCCAGTGGCTGATCAAGACCAAACTTGGCACACAGAGCCCCCATGACCCATTCTACATCCTGGTGCAGTTTCGAGGAGGATGCACCATGGATGGTGGGACTTGCAGTACCTTCACTCACTTCCTGTGACCACAGCAACACTCATCCAATTACCAATAAAGATAAAACTTGGCACAGAGAGCCCCCATGACAAAATCAACATTCTGGTGCGGTTTGGGGCAGGACAGACCATGGATGATGGGACTTGCAGTAGCTTCACTCACTTTCTGAGGCCACCGTGACCCTCATCCAATGACCGATCAAGACCATGCTTGGCACACAGAGCCCCCATGACCCAGTTTACATTTTGGTGCAGTTTAGAGGAGGATGGACCATGGAGCTATAGTTCACCTGCACCCACTGAACCTAGCCAACATTGGATCTAGACCAATCTTGGAGCACAAACAAACAATGCTTTTCTCAAATCACCCGGGCAGCACCGGGTCCCCAAGCTAGCAACTAAATAAATAAACAATAATAATGGATGTAGGTGAGACTGGAAATGTCAGAGAGAGAGCAATGATGTGTAGTTTTTGAAATAATGGATGGCTGTGGAGTGTTCTGGGTTTGGGCATCCACTTCGGAGCAATGCTGACACTACATTTCCCTGCTTCTCTGTTTCGAACCAGGTAGTGCCAGTTCCACAGTGGAAAACTCCCCATCGGAGGAAGGGGCCCAGGAAGAGGCTCGTGGCCTCAACTTGGAAGGCAACCAGAGCGGGTCAGACTCCGTCTGCACCGAAGAGCTGGCTGCCATGTTTCAGGCCGGGATGGTCGATCTGCGGCTGAATTCCGAGAGCGAGGGAGAAGAGGATGCCGTTCCACAACATCCAAGAACTCAAGCTTTGGCCAAAGAATGGGGCCAGGCCGCCTGGAGTCCCTCTGCCAAAGAGTCTCCGTCCCGGCGTAGAACGGGGAGCCTGTCGTCTCTTGGAGACAAGATCTCCTCACTTAGCCAAATGGATGCCAACGAGGCCACCATGGAGGTCTTTGGGCACCACCCGCCATGCAAAAAGGGCCACCAGCCCTTGGATTTGGGAGAATGGGATAATTTGCCTGCAAACAATGGGGAAAAGGCCTCAAGGCAGGGAAGTCAAAGTTTTGAGGTCTTGTCGGAGTGGGTTCAGGCCCTGCATGAAAATCCAAGCAGGCCATTCCTTGTGGGGGATTTGGACCATTTGGAAATGGATGCTCCACCTATCAGGAAGCCCATGTCTGATGGTTACTTTTCTGCAAGGGCAGCGCAACTCTGTTCTCTTGAAATGGGGCATGCTAGTTGTCTAGCTGCCCACTCGAGGTTTCAGAATGGGCATTGGGCACCTTCGGGGGATGAGGGCCGAGGGGGGTTGCTTCTGCCTGGGGGATGTTCTCCTTCGGAAAATGACAGGACTGACAGGAGGCCAGTGTTGTCAAGGGAGAAATGGAACACGGGCGGAATGGACCTTGCTGGGGCATCACAGAAGTCTTTAGTCTTCACTGGCAGTGGGCACATGGGTGCTCTGTGCCCAGAAGGATGTAGGGAAGCTCTGGTCCCAACAAAGTGTGAGTTTCTGCACAAGAAGACCTCTGTGGGCCTTCTGGTGGCTTCAGCTGTGTCAGACCAACCCCTTCCTCTTTCTAGATGCCAGTGTGGAACTTAGGGGACGTGGGGACCAGCCTGAGCTGACCAAGGGACACAGGCAATGCCCTGAATGCCAGCTTCACCAAACCGGAGGGTCGGACTTGCAGTTGCAGCTGAAGACAGCCTGTGGGATGATGTCGCACAAAGAGGTAACAAATACTCTTCCTCTTAGTGCCTGACTTCACAGCCGGAAGCTCCAGAGGAAGGCTGCCAGGCTGACACTGGGTGTTCTGTGTATGTCAGGTCCCTTTGCTCCACCAAGCATCCCAATTGGCATCAGAGAGAGACCACAAGGTCTTGGAGGACCACGTTCAGCAGCTGGAGGCTCAAGTCTCCTCCTTGAAGCTCCAGCTGAGGAATTCCAAAGTTGAGCTGGCCACCCTGAAGGAAATGGCCGGCAAGGTCAAGCATATCCAGGAGGTGGGCAAGTTGAGCGGGAACAGGGGTGGGTGAATGGGTGGATGGCATTGAACAGCGTCCTGAGTAGTGAATCTGGGACCGCAGGCCATCGTGCTGGAAAGGGAGGAGGAGCTGTCACGACTGCGAGAGATTGTGGAGGCCTTGGGGGTCAAAAGCGAGGCCCGGAGTCGGGCCATGGCGAGGCTGGAAGAGGAGAAGGCACGCCAAGTGGAGGCCCTGCGGCAAGAGGCCCAGCGGGAGAAGGTAGCCTAGAGACAGTCCCACTGGGATTTAACTGCAAGGCCTTTGGGGGAACTACAACTCACAGAGTCACTGAGATGCAGCTGAAACCCTGTAAGCCAAATGTGGCCTGTCTCTTTGTGTAGGGGGAGGTCTGGCAGTTGTAGTCCCCCAAACCTCTTTCCTGATGATGTATGTGTGCTGAAATCCCCCCCCCCCTCCCAATCACTGACCCCTTATGGTTTTCGCGGTTGCCACTGTGATGACACGATGATGTTTCCATCTGCAGGAGAAAGACTTGCACCGGGTGCGGGAAGAGCTGCGGCGGGAGAAGCAAGAGGCGCTGCAGGAGGTAGGGCTCTCCCCCAATACAAAGCACTCTGTGCTTAGAAATAGCCAAATCCCATTGCTACCCAGTGTGGGATAGTAGAACGCATCAGTACAGTTCTTCAGGTGTTGAACTGCAAACCCCAACATCCCTTGCCAGCTAGGGTTGATGAGGGTTTCAGTCCATCTGCAGCTGTAATGACATATTCCTGGTCCAAACTCTCCCTGCTTCTGACTTTTTCCCCCACTGGCTTTTCAGTTGGCAGAGAAAATGGAGCAGGCCAGCGCCAGGGCCCTTTGGGAGCAAGCAGCCCGTTTCCGATTGGACGCTGAGGACCTCCGCAAGGCCATTGCAGTAAGTCGCCCTGAGAGGTGCTTATAGGCTCCTTGGCCTTTCCCACTGAACTAGAAATCCCAGGATTCTTTTGAACAATGCTACAGCATCCCATGTGGCATCCCAGAATTGTGGTCATCTGTTTCCCTCTGTTTGCCCAGGAACGAGACGCTCGACTTCTCCGCCAAGAGGATGCCCAGCGGCAGAAGGCAAAGGCTTCAAAGCAAGAGGCCGAGGAGATGGTAGGTCCCCCTCTTGGGTCCCCTGCTTCCCGTTGGGCCTCCATCCCAAACAATGGGCCAACAGGTGGGCAAAATGTCCTCTTTCCTCCCAAGGTGCAGAAGGCCCTCATTTGGGAGCGGGAGAGGTGGGAGGCCGATTCCAGGGCCACTCTCTGGGCTTTGCGGGAGCAGAATCAGAAAGCGCTGCTCTGTCTCCAGGAGGGCTTGGAGGAAGAGCGGAGGGCCAAGTGGGCTCTGCGGGAATCAGCGGGCAGACCCCGTGCCGTCAGCATCCCTGGCAGAGAAGGGGCAGACCCTCCCATGCCAAGGGCATTGTGGCCCCTTGAGGAGCACCTGAATTGGAAGGCACAGCTGGCCCTTGAGTTCAAGGAAGAGCTCAATGCTGAGATGGAGAAGTGAGTGGCTTGAAGGGCGGGGGGGGGGGGGGGCAGGGGACTCTCATTCCTCCTTCCAATGTCCCCGCTCAACAGCTGGGCTTCCTTTGCAGGCGCCGGTCCAGGGACAAACCGGCGGTTTGTCAGGTAGGCACATCTCGTAAGGAGAGGGAGATGCCACCATCTGAAATGCACCTGGACTCAGTGGTAAGGAGAACTGAGTAAGCTGACAGAGAGAAATACACAAAAAACAGGATTGATGACAATGTTCAAAGGGCTGGTGGAAACTATATAGAAGTACTATGGAAGGAGGTGCCAGCACTAGCACATGGGCCGCAAGTGGCCCTGAACCTCTTTGGTGACCAATGTGACCTAGAATAGAGAAATGGTCTCTTTCGAGGCTCTTTCTAGACATAGAATGGAGAAATGCTCCTCACAAGCATTATATAAGGGGCGGTAGGGAGAATCCTTGCAGAAATGATGACTGGGGTCCCTCCCTTTTGTCACAGAGTGCCTTCCACTCCCCATGTCTCAGTGCCATGTTGTCAAGCCAGTGCCCCTTTGCCTCCCCCGATCTGCTGGGGCGCTTGCGGAGCCACATCAGTGAGCGGTGGGCAAAGAACGCGGCTTGCTGCTGTGCCTGCCGGAAGACACTCGGCAGCTTCCAAGACGATCGAGGCAAGAGCTGTGCCAGCCAGGTAGGCACTTCTTCCCATTCTCAAATGGGCTGTAGTTCTGGCCTGATTTGGTATCCAGCATTGGCTGCAATGGGATGGGATTCGTCGTTGGTGAATGGATGCAACCATCACTGGGAGAACTACATCTCCTGAGGCCGAATTTGACTCAGAACATTGCTGGTTGGCATCCAGCTCCCCATGGCTGGCTATGGGGTTAAATGGGTTGCATGAAGCCAATGGAAGGTGAGCCCCAAAGGTTCAGAATCAAATGGCATGATATGATTAATAATACTACTAATTATAGCAATTAATATTGTTATACACTATAATTATTTATATAATTATATTATTATTATTATTATTATTATTATTATTATTAAATGTATTGTCGAAGGCTTTCATGCCAGAATCACTGGGGTGTTGTGTGTTTTCCGGGCTGTATGGCCATGTTCCAGAAGCATTCTCTTCTGACATTTCACCTGCATCTATGGCAGGCATCCTCAGAGGTTGTGAGGTCTCACAACCTCTGAGGATGCCTGCCGTAGATGCAGGCAAAATGTCAGGAGAGAATGCCTCAGGAACATGGCCATACAGCCCGGAAAACACACAACAACCCAATTATTATTCAATATTATTTATATAATTATATGTATTATTCATAATTTATAATTATATAAATAACAATAATGTATAATATAATAATAATTATTGATCATAATAATACATTTTATGCTTCACCCATCACTCCTTATGACTTGACATGGCACGATACAGGGTTTTGGTTGGTGTATCACAACTCCACCATCGCACTTATCAGAGCCACTGAGTTTGCTCTTTTGATAATTTAGAATCCTGTGCTTCTAAAAATCCCAGATATCTTGAAGATTGGTGATTGGCACCCAGCTCTGTTTCTTGCCTTTCAGGGACCCTCGGCTGCGGGCCCTTCCTCATAGGGATCCCATGGAGAAGGGGTGCCCCTGCTATGCATGCCAGCACTCCATGCCCGTGAGTTCTGAACCCAGAGGGAGTAGAGTGCTGCAATGAAGCCACTTTGGCCTTGACTTTGGACCTGTGGCACTTCTGGACCCATTGCTCATCCATGTTGTGTTTGTATCCTTGCTGCCGCTTTTCGCTCTTGCATTTCATGTTGTGTCTTTTTTTTTTAATGCTTTGGAAGCGGCATCTTTCGGAAATAAATGAAATCATAAAGGCTGGGCATCGTTTGTACTGCTTCCTCATTGCAAGCCATGGAAGTCGGTGCAGGTGAGCAGTTGCCAACTGATCGGAGTGGGACAGGCCCTTCTGCTCTGGAATCTGCGATTAAAAACTCCTCGATGAAGCCAGGAAGGAGTTAACACAAGAGGCCAGGGCTAAAAGACCTGTCAATCACTCAACTTGCCTGGGACAAAGGGAAAACCTGGAAGCAGGATCCTGGAAAGCAGGCCCATAGCCAGAAAAAAAAATCAGGAGGGGTTGAAACATCCCACCCCTCAGATGACTTTTGAGGCCAGTGTCTCCTTCTCTGGCATGAGATCTCAAGAACTTACTTACTTACTTAGGCGATCCCTTGTAGTCCGAGGATGATGGTCCTCCAAGTTCGGTGTCCTGGCAGTGGGTCCGTAGGTGACTGTGGAGCCCTATTCTTGGTCTGCATCTTCTCCCACAGTGAGGGCATCGGTTTCCAGGTGGAAGGTGGTCCCAGTCGGGGTTGGCTTGATGCGCCTTCCTCCTGGCACGTTTCTCTCTTTCGCCCTCCATTCGTGCCTCTTCAAATTTTGCAGCACTGCTGGTCACAGCTGACCTCCAACTGGAGCGCTCAAGGGCCAGGGCTTCCCAGTTCTCAGTGTCCATAGCAGAGATTTTAAGATTGGCTTTGAGCCCATCTTTAAATCTCTTTTCCTGTCCTCCAACATTCTGTTTTCCGTTCTTGAATTCGGAGTAGAGCAACTGATTTGGGAGACGATGATCAGGCATCCGGACAACGTGGCTGGTCTAGCGGAGTTGATGGCGGAGGACCATCGCTTCAATGCTGGTTGTCTTTGCTTCTTCCAGCACACTGACATTTGTCCGCTTGTCTTCCCAAGAGATTTGCAGGATTTTCCGGAGGCAGCGCTGATGGAATCATTCCAGGAGTTGCATGTGACGTCTGTAGACTGTACACGTCTTGCAAGCGTATAGCAGGGTTGGGAGGACAATAGCTTTATAAAAAAGCACCTTGGTATCCCTACGGATGTCCCGGTCCTCGAACACTCTCTGCTTCAGAAAAATGCTGCACTCACAGAACTCAGGTGGTGTTGAATTTCAGTGTCAATGTTGACTTTTGTGGAGAGGTGGCTGCCAAGGTAGTGGAAATGATCAACATTTTCTAATGTTACACCATTAAGCTGTATCTCTGGCATTTGAGAGGGATTTGCCGGTAACTGCTGGAAGAGCACTTTGGTTTACTCGATGTTCAATGTAAGGCCAAGCTTCTCGTATGCTTCTGCAAAGGTGTTTAGAGTGGCTTGTAGGTCTTCTTCTGAATGCGCACAGACGACGTTGTCATCAGCATACTGGAGTTCTATAACAGATGTTGTTATAGCCTTGGTTTTGGCTTTCAGTCTGCTGAGGTTAAACAGCTTGCCATCTGTCTGATAGATTATTTCCACTCCGGTGGGAAGCTTCCCATCGACAAGATGCAGTATCATAGTGATGAAGATGGAGAATAGAGTTGGGGCAATAACACATCCCTGTTTGACACCTGACAACGGGTCACTTTGGGAGCCATTGTTGTCCAAGACTGTTGCCTTCATGTCATCATGGAGGAGACGCAGGATGTTCACAAATTTGTTAGGGCACCCAATTTTTTGGAGGATGGTCCAGAGAGCGCTGCGATTCACTGTGTCGAATGCCTTTGCAAGGTCAATGAATGCCATGTATAGTGGTTGATTTTGTTCCCTGCATTTTTCTTGGAGCTTTCGTGCAGTGAAGATTATGTCCACTGTTCCTATGGAGGGGTGGAAGCCGTTCTGGGATTCTGGGATGGTGTCTTCTGAGAGGGGTAGAAGGCGGTTTGTAAGGATTCTTGCGAGGATTTTTGCAGTGGAGGTTAGAAAGGAGATACCTCGATAGTTTCCGCAGGCTGTTCTTTCCCCCTTTTTGAAGAGGGTGGTGATGGTGGCATCCTTGAAATTTGCTGGGATTTTCTCGGTCGCCCACACTTTTTCAATGAGCTGGTGGAGTTGTTGTGTCAGCTCAGGTCCTCCCTCTTTAAAGATTTCAGCAGGGATCCCGTCAGGCCAGCTGGCTTTGTAATTTTTTTATTGGCTGATGGCATTGCTGACTTCTTCCAAACTAGGCAGTGCTGCAAGCTCATCCCTGGTTTGTTGTTGCGAGATTTGTGAGAGAACCTCTTCGGACAAAGAACAATTACAGCACAGCAATTAACATATAACAGGTCAACAACAGTGCTGGTCTTGACCTATAAAGCCCTAAACGACTCCGGCCCAGTTTACCTGTCCGAACGGATTCTCCCCTATGAACCACCAAGGTTACTAAGATCTTCCGGAGGGGGCCTGCTCTCGTTCCCACCACCTTCGCAATTGCGTCTGGTGGGGACGAGGGACAGGGCCTTCTCGGTGGTGGCCCCTCGGCTTTGGAATTCCCTCCCACCAGAGATTAGATCTGCTCCTTCCCTCTTGACCTTTAGAAAGCTAATAAAAACCTGGTTTTAGAATATGACATTCGATGATTGAGTCAATAACCCTTGTCCACATGGAAGGATGGCGATGAATTGTGACTGTATTTGACGACTTGGCTTGTGTAATGTGATGATGTTTTTTATTGTAGTTTATATTTTAATGAGTAATGATTATGCACTGTGCTGTTTTTTATATTACTGTATATGAACACATGTTGTGAACCAGCCTGAGTCCCTCCTCGGAGGTGAGAAGACCGATATATAAAACTTCTAAATAAATAAATAAACAACAGTAAAAATACATTTAAATACAGTAAAAATAATGGCCCTTAAAATATTAACACCACCAAGTCTGAGTCTGCAAATCCAAATCATAGCCCAGAGTTTCAGTCGAAGGTCTCTTCATTGACAATTCCCACGAGTCATTACAGTTGCTGCTCAGCCAGCTGCCCGAATGCTTGGTCCCAGAGCCTAGACTGGAGTTTTTTTCCTGAAGGAGAGGGGAGATGGAGTTGCCCTGATTTCACTGGGGAGTGCATTCCACAGACGGGTGCCACCACTGAGAAGGCCCTGTCTCTCGTCTCTGACAGTCGCGCTTGTGAGGGTGGCGGGATCGAGAGAAGGGCCTCCCCTGACCATCGTAAACTCCAAGGTGGGTCATAGAAGTCAAGACATCATCTTGTCCTTGGTTGGCCCCTCTTCCTTTCTCCTTCCATTTTTCCCAGCATCACTCTCTTCTCCAAGCTTTCCTCTTTATGTGGCCAAAGTACTTCATCTTTGCCTCTAATATCCTTCCTTCCAGTGAGCAGTTGGGCTTTATTTCATGGAGTATGGAGTAGTTTGATCTTCTTGCAATCCAAGGCACTCTCAGAATTTTCCTCCAACACCACAGTTCAAAAGAATCTATCTTCCTTCGCTCAGCCTTCCTTATGGTCCAGCTCTTGCATCCATAGGTTGCTACGGGGAAAACAGTTGCTTTAACTATGCCAGTGTGATGTCCCTGCTCTTCATTATCGCATTTGGTCATTGCTCTCTTCTCAAGAAGGAAACATCTTCTGATTTCCTGGCTGCAGTCTGCATCTGCAGTAATCTTCGCACCTAGAAATACAAAGTCTGTTACTGCTTCCAAGTTTTCTTCCTCTATTTGCCATTTATCAATCAGTCTGGTTGCCATAATCTTTTTTTTTTTTTAAATGTCAGGAGCGACTTGAGAAACTGCAAGTCGTTTCTGGTGTGAGAGAATTGGCCATCTGCAAGGATTTTGCCCAGGGGACACCCAGATGTTTGATGTTTTACCATCTTTGTGGGAGGCTTCTCTCATGTCCCCGTGTGAGGAGCTGGAGCTGACTTAGGGAGCTCAACTCACTCTCCCCAGATTCAGGCAGTTTAACCCATTGGGTTATTTAGTTACAACCAGGCCCGTAGCCAGGATTTTGATTCAGGAGGGGGGGGGGCTGAGTTTGATTCGGGGGGGGGGGGGCTGAGTCTGGGTGAAAGAGGGTCTACCCTAGCAAACCTTCTGTATCATTACCCCAATACCCCCATACATATGGGATATATTGGGAATGGTGATCAGATCATGATATTAATAAACATAACAGTTTAAATAATGTACCAGTAAGGCCTTCTTGCGGACCACCATGAGAATTTCGGCTACATGCCTGGCTACAACCTAACTTTTACACTTTCTTCTTTCACCTTCTCAGCTCCTCCTCACTTTCAGCCATCAAAGTGGTATCATCTGCATATCTAAGGTTGTTAATGTTTCTACCAGCAATGCATTTCATTGTGTTAAGTGTCTCCTTATTGATATGTGATGTTTTTATACATGCGAAGCATTGAATTTTGCCATTTATTATGTTGTGAACTGCTTTGAGTTCCTCCAGGGGTGGATCAATAATATATAATAAATAAATAAATAAATAAATAAATAATGCATTCACTTGGTCATCAGACACAGTCATATAAAGTCCAAGGTCTAAAAATGACACAGCTTCTTTTCTTTGTTCCTGTTCCATGGCTTCTTTGGCAGGGCTTGGATTAGAGCAGTGTTTCTCAACCTGGGGGTCAGGAACCCTGGGGGTCAGGGGGTTTTTTTAGAGGGGTCATCAAAGACCATCAGAAAACATATTTCTGATTATCTTAGAAACAGCTTTGGCAGAGAAGGCTGAAGATCTCTCCGCCTGTCCTTCTCTTCCTTTTTGGAAACAGACTCCTCCCACCAAAAGCCCTCCTCCACTGTGATTGGCCAGCCTCTCAGCCAAGGGGAGGGCTGTTTCTGAGATTCCAAGGGGGGCGGGGAGAGCAGGTGGGCTCGGCGCATGGCAGTGTGGTGTGCATGTGTGGAGCGATGGAGAGCGTGCAAGGCTGGAGGGTGGCTCACGCCAGGGAGTCCCTTCAAAGCATGGGGGTTCTGTGTAGGAAGTTTGGCCCAATTCTATCGTTGGTGGGGTTCACAATGCTCTTTGATTGTAGGCATAATAGTACTTTGGATGTGGAATTGGACTGGAACAGCTATATGGTTGACAAATATTTTA